CCAGTAAAAAAAAAAAAAAAGCCCAACCAGTACTCCTACAGTCTTAGCTGTTTCGACCATTACTCCATCGCTGAAAAAAAATGAATAGCACAGCCAGTGATAGACACTTTAATCAACAGCACCACACTCTAGTACATATTCTGAGCTCATTTATTTTACTCTATGCACAGAGCATCCTATTCGCTTTAATGATCAAGTCACTTTTATCCTTTCTTCACATCCTAATCATCTGCATTACTGCCCTTTCGAAATGATTGGCATCTTGAATTCTTGCCTCTGATTTCTTTAAGAAAATCCCTTTCAGTTCTCAAGCTGTGACTTTAAAATTTGCTTGCGAGTATTCCTACAACTTTAGTGTCCTTTCCAACTTAGATTTAAAACAGTAAATGATACATTTTTCTTGTTTCTTTCTCCCCTTCTAAAACAAAAACTAATTAATGTTATATTATTATTTTAAATGAAACTATACTTGTACTTAACGTTAACTGTAATCTTAATTTTCTTGTTGTGATAAGAACATATCATTCTCACTGCATTGTTAATTCTTTATACTTGTCCTTGAAGCACTAACATTAACTATCTTAATTACGATCTAAGTGATAAATTCTGAACCACTGCTATTATTAATATCTAAAATGTAGGTTTCAACGTTCCAATATTTTATCAAGCTATTTTGAAGGCCCGAACCTGGCTTAGTAGCTAGTATATCGGACTAGAGATCCAAGGATTACGGGTTCGAAACGTCGTTCTACCAAAATGCTTCACACTTTCTGGTGTTGGTGCATTATAAAATGACAGCAAGTCCCGCTATTCGATTAAGGGTAGCGAATTCAGGAGGCGAGTGCTTCCAACTGGTTGCCTTCTCTGCGTTGCGCAGTTCAAAATTAAGGACGACTATCCCAGACCACAAACGTCTCTGACCTGACCGTTTAACCCTTATGTGCATAAGGTGTCGTTCAGGTGAACGAACAAGCAAATAGTTTGAATTTAAACTTGCTTTCATAAAATTAGAAATATTGATTCCGGTGAGGATGATATAATCAATACAATATTAGATCAATATTAAAAAAAAACTTTTCTCTTCCACTTGTATGTTTCCACTCTATTTCAGTCCAATTCGCCACTTTACAGATTTTAGTGGCTTATTTTCCAAAAAAAAATTCTGTGAACTTTAGTTTTGTATTTTAAAGAAAACAAATTTCTTAAATGTGTCCAAAATTCTTCGTATAAAAGTAGATCAGGGGCTCTCGTACTTTTAGGACTTGGGTCCCCTTTCACGACCCTAATTTTCAGCTATCCAAAGAAGGTCAATTGAATACACTTATAAAATAACAAAGTTTAATACAATGGTCTATTTTAAACTAAAAATAATAAATATAAAACTATAATATAGCTTTAATGCTTACTTGCAAATCATTCGCGAACAGCCGTGGGGTCGCGACCCATAGTTTGAGAACACCTGAGAATAGCTGATCTTTTATATCAACTCACTGAATTCGCACTTAAGGGTTTTAGTATGGTCCTTTCTATTGATATACAGGAAGCTTTTGTTTATGCATTTCTGTGTGATTGATACTCATAACATCTTAAGAATATTCACTCTGACATTTGAAGGTTCGATTTGAAGGTTCGCAAAGGAAGCAGTTTACGTGTCTATTCTCCTCCATATTCAAAGCCAGTATTCTTAAAAGCTCTGCAAAGAGGCCACTGATTTAAACCTACATGTTGGCGATATTAATCTTCTTTATATCTACCAAAAATGTATAAGGCTTATTTTCTGAACCACTTCTTACGATGGACGGCACGTATAAGAGGCTTGGGAATGCTTAGTCTTCCCAAATGGGGGTGAATACAGATAGTTCATTTCTGACCGTTCGAGGTACAGCCCCCCCCCCCTGAACATCTATCGTGGGCAAACAAACAAAATGTCCCTTTCAGAGCATTTTCTTCGCCATATGTGACAGGATAACCTACATAAACAAGAGATACACGCGCCGATTATACTTACCATCACCTGGCTGATGCTAAAATTAAACTATTAATATTGAAATAAAAACTTAATATACCTGTATACATAAGCAATTATAAGCCTTGATAAAACCTAGGGGATCATGTTTCACCTGTTTACAAATTTTTCCTAAAGTTTATTTCCTCCATATCCACTTCACTTTATATTATTATTTTTCCCGTCTTCACAAGAGCTATTAAAAGTGTAGTCTTACATTCTGACAGCTGTCGCATCTTTAAGAAAAAGAAACAAAAGATAATTTTCCATCATAATCTCTAAAATGTATAATATCATTATGTGTGTCTGTATAACGCGATTAATCTCAATAAATGTTCGCTAGAATTTTTGAAAACATATCACTCACAGTATTGTGTTTCCAAGTCAGTAGCTTAGCGTTTGTTATAACTATTCTCCGTTTCCGTTAGAACATTTTTTTTCATAATCTTCGCTCGGGGTATTAGGTTGAATATTTTAGATGTCAGTGTGTGTATTCTGAACCCATTTTAGCATAAAAGTATAACCTATATACTCTTCTTGCTAGGCAACAAGACATAAAAGCCATTGTTCGAACGCATTGTTACCAAAACGCACTGGCTTTTTTTATATACAAGTTTTTATATGAGGAACCACTATTTTTTATGTGGTTTTTTGCTAGCTTGCTCCATTAAAAATATGCGCGCACGCACATGCGTGTCTGTCTCTCTGCGATCTATTTTTTTAATGTAAGGAATCACATTTTTCTATGTGGTTTTTCGCTAGTTTCACTCATTAAAAAGATGCGCATGTGCGCGCACGCACGTGGATGAGATAAATAATACCCAGGTGCACACCCTCAGACTCCACTTAGTATGGGTGCAAAATTTCAAGTTTCTAGGTTCTTTCCTCTTGGAGCTATGGCGGTCACACAAATGCGCGCATTGCGCACGTGCACACATGCGTGTCTGTCTGTGATGTCTATCTATAATAATAATAATAAAATGGCGTGTCTGTGGGTCCAAGAGCAAATAACCAAGAAACCTGAAATTTTGCACCCACACTAAGTGGACCATGAGAGTGTGCACTTTGGTATTATTACTTATCCACGTGCGTGCGCATCTTTTTTAATGAAGCAAGCTTGCGAAAAAACACACAGTAAAGTAGTGGTTTTTTATATTACAAATTATAGATATAAAATACAGACAAACATGCACGTTTAATGAGGCAATCTATCAAAAACCACATAGAAATAAGTGGTTCCTTGTATAATAGCTTCTAATATATAGAAAAGTTAGTGCGTTTTGGTAACAATGCGTTCCAACAATGGCTTTTATATCATGTTGCTTAGCAATAAAAGTATAATCCAATATTGTTCCTAAGAGACTATGTGCTGAAAGTATAAAATGAAATGCATAAACTACAAAATTGAAAAAAAAAATGTTTTTCAGAGGGAAGTTATCTTTATAAACAGGCCATATCCTGTAAAGGAGCAACAAAAATATACAGGTTATACTTTTATGCTAAAATGAGTTCAGAATACACTCTATGGCATAATCATCTAGAATAAATCAAACTAATAACCCGAGCGAAGCCGGGTACTTTCGCTAGTTTGTAATATAAGGAACCACTTCTTTTCTACGTGTTTTTCTATAGCTTACCTCATTAAAAAGATGTGCACTCGCATCCGCATACGCACGTGGATAATATGTAACAATACCCAGGTGCACACCCTCAGGGTCCACTTAGTATGTGTGCAAAATGTCAGGTTTCTAGGTTCTTTCCTCTTGGAGCTATGGCGATCAAACACACGCCCTTTTAATTTTATAGACTAGCGAAAGTATCCGGCTTCGCTTGGATTATTAGGTTGATAGTGTTTGTATTCTGAATCCATTTTAGCATAAAAGTATAACCTATATACTTTTCTTGCTAATAGCAACATGACATAAAAGCCATCTATATTCTACCCACAGCGGTTATCAAAACCCGATTTTTAGTGTTATAAGCCTTCAGACATACCGCTCAGCCACTACAGAAGCCCCACAAAAGACAAAGGAAAAATGACAAAATAAAGCTGCTAGTATAAAAATATTTATATAAACTTCCAATACAAAATTAAGTAAAATAAATATAAACAAATAGTGTTTTAATTATTAAATAGATGAAATAAATTTATATCCATATATATGTGTAAAAGATACACAAAGTATCTAAACAAACATGAACAAACTGTAAGAGGTATCGTAAATGATAAATTTAAAAACAAAAAAGGCCAGAAATAATATGATAAATCAACGTAACTCGTCCCCTCCCCCGGTGGCTCAGCGGTTAGTCTGAGGCTTTATGCCGCTAAAATCAGATTTTGATAACCACTGTAGGCAAAATGTTATAGTCCATTGTGTAGCTTTGTGCTTAACAACAAAAACTAACATGCTATGTACCCTAAGAGGTAGTTCATTAAATAGTAATGTTGCCATAAAGAACTTCGATGTCAATTTTTTTAATACAGATTATAAAAGTTACAATACAATATAGAAACTAAAACAAAAGTTAACATCAATTTATAGATTTAAGCAGTGTAAAAATGTAAGATCGAAATTCAGGAAATATTATGCAGAATATTAATAGGAATTAAAAAGGTTCTTTAGCAGTTAATATTAAAAGTGCATATTGTATTATCCAAGATTGATTTGAGTTATATTTTGAGATATTGGGCAACATATTACAATAACAGCTTTCTGATTGTGTTGAATAACATAGTCAATAATTGGAGTTCTCTTTCAAGACCGCGCTTCTGCTGTCGTTTGTTAAATAGTGGTTTCAGCCATTAGAGAATTCTTAACTTTAAAAGAAAATTACTCGTCTCAAAAAAAACAAAAAACAGTTTTACTCTACTTTTGGAATATATAATTCCGTAAGTACATACCAATGTGGGCTCTATCAAAAAAATTCTACACAAAGAGTCAGTATTAAAACCACATTTCACTGATGTTTTCCCTTATGTATCTTAATAACATACCTTAAAGTTGAGAAAACACCAGTCTTCTTAAGATCTTGTCATGAGAAAGTAAGTCTATTTTAGAAAGTTGGCCCTTCAAATCCTGGCGGCAACCCTTTTCTTCCAAGATCTCTCTTATTCATGGTAGGCTTTCATCCCCACCTCTGAGCTCAGTCGATCCAAGTATACACGTTTTCAGAGCGAGTCTTCAAGACCAGAGATTCTCCCAAACACCTTTGTTTTTTGTTTCTTCATTCACTTCTAACCTGATGAAAGGTTCAGCATAAGGCCTGAAACATCGTCTCAACACCAAAAACAAGACTTAGTATAGAATTAACCACAACCCAGCATATAACCGTATTAATTTAATTAAGTATATAAAAAGCCATCTTGAGTGAGCCCAAAGCTACAATATAAAATGATACATTAAACAAGGAAACAAAACTCGTATTCACCTACTTATAACGGTAATTATATAAAAATTACCCGTTAATACCGAAATGAAAATGGTATACCTCCAGAATGTTTTAATGGATTGCCATAATTTGAAATTATAAATCAAGACACTAATTTTTTTGTTTGTGGTTTGAAAAAGTGGCGTTGAATGGGCGTACATATATTATTGCGTTTCTGATGGGGTAGTTTTACCTGAGACTTTTAATGCTGACGTGGTATTGAGCACAGTTGTACAACCTTTGGCGGATGAAGTCTGATGCATAATAATGCTGGTGATTTAGGTACGCAATATAATATCGTTTGTGGCCATCCTGTATCGCATTAAAACGTCATTTCTGTAGCATAGAATATTCCACGCGTTATAAATCTTAACCAAAGAAGTGGGTGGCAATGATGCATTTTTATTGCTACCGCAATAAAATTATGAAATAGGTTTTACACAATTTCCGCTCTCTGTAAAAATTTGTCAACATCTTTTACAATATACACGTTTTCAGGAAGAATTAAAATATCCAAGGAAGATTAAAATACAATCTTCACTTCCCTCCGAATCTCCATCTGAATCTAAACGCATCACCAATAAAGGTTATATATATATATATATATATATATATATATATATATTTCCACCCTATTCTAATGGACCCCTGCCAATTTTTCATCAGAGATTTAACAAAACCAACAGAAAACGTTGATTAATTTACTGCCAGATCGAGAAGAGAACAAAGAACGCTCATCAAAATTTAGAACTGGTACTAGCATCTTCACGGGTGAAAGCGCTACTTCAAAATATTAGCCGGTTTAATCAGCAGTACAAAGACCTTTGTGCTCATTTTATTTATTCATTAAAATGTCCTACAATTTAAACATTATACAGTTACCTGTCAAGGACTATGTTTTATTTACTTCATAGGACAGTTTTACATTGCTTTTCTTCTTATATAAGCTAGGCCTTAATGATTAAACAAAATCTCTTCATTATGTATGTCGTATTCTTGTTTCGTTTTTGCCAGTTTTGTAAACTGAAATCCACAAACCGTGCTTTAACTTGTTTGTCTTATTTTACATTAAAGCATCTACTAAAAACAAACTGTGGGACACAAAGAACAGCCACTGTATTTTAAAATACAGGTCAGGTGTTATCAAAGGAGCTATGTTAAAAAAGTCATATTCTAAGGGGTAAAAACTTTTTCTTCTTCTAAGGGGTAAAAAGGTTTTTCAGCTACAAATTTATGAAAGACTCCATATTAATATTCTATTCAGATAGATCTCAGAATAATTTTTATACGTATTTTAATGTTTTAAAGTATAAATAAAGCTTCCTTAAATTGATGGACAACTTACGATGTTGTCTCATATGAAGAATCGTACATCGTTAATCCTTATAGACCTAGCTCCCTTTACAAACCTTATTTTCTTAACTTCATGAAAACATTTTAAGGACTCGTATCATGATCAAACTATTTCATATAAGGTGATTTGCTATAACTATTGACTATTTGATCAGTTTAGTTTGAGATGTCAAATGTTAAGATGCAGCTGGAGATTGTCATGGAGAATTGTTTGAGAATTTAGTGTGCATTTATAGTTTTTGTGTAACTAAATTCTCTATATAAGATGCATAGCAATGGACAAGTATTTGCCTAGACTAAGAAACCACCCCAAAAAGCGCGTATAAAATTTTACTACTAGAAAAGCAGCCTTTTTAAATACAACACATCTCTTTAAATAAACCTTCGTATCATTTAAAGTAATTGTTCTTCGCGCGTGTAAAATATAACTTAATGCTATGTATATTGATTTTTTTACTATTTCATTTCATACATAATATAGTGGTTGGCTCCCTAAGGACATTGATTGTATAGAATACAAAGTATTGAGTACCTACACATGTTACAGACATCTAATCTTAATCTATTATTGGTTCGTAATTCCTGTTTAACCCTGTACTGAAGCTTTTTAAAGGAACATCGGATATGTGTAAGAAAGCTGACTGCAAGGGGTAATGATAACATCCTTTACACTAGAATCATGATGTTTTTTAGCTTATGTAAAGTATAGAAGAAACAAATCGACTTTTCAATACCACTACGACCTTCGCAGTACCTTATTTAGTATTCTACACTATACTAAGATGGTAGTGTAGATACACTATACTAAGATGGTTTTGTTGTAGGCTGGCAAGAGAATAATAATAAGAAGAATTACAAATGGACCGTTTTGAGAGGATTTTCTTTTCCTTGTAAGTCTAAATTGCGTGCTTTTTTTGTGCATTTTCATATGTGTACAGCCTTAGCAGTCAACAGTAAAGATTTTAGAGTGTTGTTTGAAATGAACCTTTACTGTTTAAAATGCTTTTTGCCCGAATGTTCAATTGGGGTTTTGTGCAACTCCTTGCGATCCCTATTATGAACCACTATCGCGGTTCATGATAATATGTAACACTTCGGCTATGTAAATTCGGAAATGAGCTTGTTATGTATGTATTATTTCGAAACAACTAAATTTTTTGTAAAGATGCAAAGTACAATTAAAAATAAAAGGAATATATTAAAGCCGTTTTTCTGAAAGTATAAATACACAACTACAAATGTATTTAGTTCATACAATAAAATTAAGTTGCAAATTAAAGAGTAAGTATGATTACTTTTATCTTGGTGAGAGAATTATTTAAAGAAGTAGTTTCCAGACAGCGTTTAGATCATATATCAGATTTTGTTCCTTTCAAACCTTACACTGAGAAACAAGAACTTAGTAATCAGGATAAAATATGGGCACTACGTCGAGGTACAAGTATAGCTAATCTGTGAATGATAAAATATTATTAACGTTTTGCCCAAATGTAGTGCATCAAACGTAACTGTAAAGATTTTGGCCTTCATTCACAGAATCGTTCTCTAATACAACTATTTAGCATTAAAAATATTTCTATCATGTTAATGCTGTTCCTTGTTCCGTAAATGTGATACAAAATTTAAATATTCATCAACTGAGCTAGATTCATTCTACATTACCAAACAATGCTACACTTCTAAAATAGTGAAGAATACATGAAGAATACTAACAGATAATGCTATATAACTGAAAATCCCAAAACAACACTACAGAAATAAAACATTCATAAACAATGCTACAAAATTAAATCTCTAATAACCACGTTTTACAACTAATGCATTAACAAGCAATGCTAAATAATTTAAACTCTATTAAGCGATACTACGCAAATGAAACAATACCAGCAAATTGTTTTAACACTATATCACACAGCCTAACATAAAAGCACGTTGAAGCGTCACAACGGGACTTAACATAATCTTATCATTTACCCCATTCCGGATAAATTTAGTTAATTTTATCTCACCAATAGTTTGAACGTTATACACATAACAATGTCGATAAGTTTGTTAGAAGGATTCACTGATTTGTAGTATTTTACCGGTAACATAGGATATTTATCAAACTATAACGCTAGATTAACATAGAATTTTATAAATAAAAAAATGAAAGAATCAGTTTAAGCTATAGTGGAATGATCGATACGTTTACAGATATTTAGTTTACAGATATTTAAGGTTACTGATCTAGTGTTCTATCCATGAGTTACAGTTTACATTTGGAGATCGTGTTATGAGTACGACTTTTAGAAGAATGATTTATTTCGGTATGAAAACAAATGAACCTGAAAGTAGGGTTGCTTTGGAATGTAATTACATGGAAATATACAACATTCTTTAATACTTAATATTATAGAAATATTAGCATTTTCTTCTATAGAATTGTTGAACTTACTGCAAACATAATTATAATTTTAATCAATTGAATCTGGTGGGTCAAAGAATTCCAGTCGAAACCTTAATAAATAACAATAGTGACATCAGTGGTATTTTTTTTTTATTCCTGTAAACTCCCAGTGGAGCATAGGGCCGCAACAACACCTCGCCAACGGAAGGTGTTGTTGCAGTTTCTTGTAGCAGGTTGGTTTT